GCTCCGCTGTAATTCCATCCTGGCCTGGGGCCTTGCCGTTTTTAAGGTGCTGGAGAGCCATTCTAATCTCGCTCAGACTGACGTCCGGGATATCATCGGAATAATGTCGGATAAGACTCGCTCTTGGATCGTTACTCACACTTGCGTGTGGCTCCAACGATGACGTGTACAGCTGCCCATAGAACCTCTCAATCTCACTCAAAATCTCAGGTGCCCCGGAAACGATGCTGCCACATTCGGTCTTCAGCTTTGACAGTTGGTTCTTTCTGGCAGACAGATCTCTGGCAAAGACTTTGGAGCCTTGGTTCCGCTCGATCGCTTCTTCAATACGAGCTGTATTGAAGTTACGTAAGTCCCGCCGCATGCATTTGGAGATCTGTCTGTTCAGTTGCCTGTATGCTGTCAAATCTGTTGAAGAATGTAGCTTCATCTCCCGTCTAACAGCCATGAGATTAAGAGTGTGATCGGAGAGTTTTTGTGTTCTTCTGCGGCGGGTCTTGCAGAACTTAGCTCCGACCGCATGGACAGTTTCCACGAGCTTGTCATTCAAATCGTCCACTTCATTGCAGTCTTCTAGGCACTGAAAACGGTTTTGCAACTCGAGCTGAAAGGTTTCGGGACTTTGGATTAGAGCACGAGGGGGACGGAGCGTTGACTTCATTAGACGTGACCTCTCCAACTTAACGTTTAGGTTCAGTGTGCCTCTAACCATTCGGTGATCGCTGCCGGTTTTCACCCTCGCGATCACTGAGACATCACTGAACAGTTGTCGTCTGGTCGTCATAATGAAGTCAATCTCATTTTTTGTCGAACCGTCGGGGCTCGACCAGGTCCACTTCCTGTGGGGCCGCTTCTGGAAGAAAGAGTTCATCATAAAGAGTCCCTCTTTCTCCATGAAGTCGGCCAACTGCTGGCCCCTTGGGTTCCGTTGCCCTATTCCAAATTTCCCCACTTTCAGCTCACCGTTCTCTCTTGTGCCTAGTTTTGCATTGAAGTCTCCCATTAACACCGTATATTGGGTTTTGGAGGAATGCATGGCTCTAGAGATATCCTCATACATTTCCTCCACCTCCTGATCGGGGTGTGCCGAGGTTGGTGCGTAAACCTGTATGACCTTCAGCGAATACCGTTTGGTGATACTGAGTATAAGGTACGCAACCCTCGTCGACACACTCTCAATCTTTACAACGTTGTTAACGAGAGACTTGTGGACGATAAATCCGACACCTCCTTGGGACAGATGGTCGCCCTCCCGGTGATAGAGCAAGTTGCCGGATTCGAGGATTACCGTGTCCTCCCCCTCTCTTCGGACTTCGGATAATCCTATAATATGCCAGCGTAACTTGTCTATCTCTTCTTCCAGCTCCACAATCTTCTCGTCAGTCCTCAGGGTGCGTGCGTTGTATGTTGCCAGGTCGAGTCGTTGTAGGTGGCAACCGAACCTCCACCGGAGATTCTTAGCACCCCCTGCCCCGCCGTTACCATGGTCGCCACCGTAGCCAGGAATAGCGGGGCCGCCGGGGACTGGGGGCCGTCTCTTCGTAACTTTCATTATGGGGGGTATATTGCCATAGTTGCCACGCCTGGCGAGCGGGTTGGCAACCGCAGTTTTTTATTGTATTTTGTCGTTACCAGGAAGATGCTGCTGCCCATCTCCTGCCTGTTTCCCTTTGTCGCCTTTTACGACACCCACGGGAAGATATGGGGTAGTGGATATTCTTAACCGCCACTACACGGCAAGTTTTAGTTTCCTGTAGAAGGAGGAAATCGGCTTCACGATTTCGAAGAAAGAGCTTAAGCTCTGGGAGGTTATTTCGGAAACCGCGAATGTTAAAGGATACAAGCGATAAATCCTTAGGTTTGATACGACCGTGAGACTTTGGTAGAGCAAACTGCTCTGTCATTGTGAGTTAAGTTAATTAAGTTAAGACCTGAAAAAAAAGAAAAGACCTGAAAACCTACCAGCGCTTTTCTTACATGAAAGTCCGTGGAGCCCAAACTTGTCGATGCTGCTACCACAGGGGCACTGATGGGGTTGACAAATCGCCGCTCCTAGTCGGATTCCTACGGCAATGCGCAAGCTTTCCCTATCAAGTAATGTGCCGAGATTACTTGATGGTAAAGCGTGTAACCAGTGACTAGATTCCCTAGTCGAAACAGCTAGAAGGCGTGCCTTATCTTGGTCACTATGGAAATTATGAAATAAATCCTTCTGCACGCCCTGTACCAACGGAATATCCCACTGTTTTTGTTGGTTTACTTCCAGTGGAATATTTTCACCAGTACAGAGCGTTTGCCATGTATGCCCTGCCTCTGTAGCAAAGCATAGGTCTACTTTATTATTTAAAATTATGTTACATAAGTCACTGACACTATGCACGGAAGCAAGGAAAGCAGGCTAGATGCATGATTGCAAATGCAACGCTAGAAAGATTTCTCACACCAATGCCACCAAATTTTATAGGTAAAGTAGCTTGAGTCCAGGCTGTTGTATTTAAAGTTAAATTTAGAATTTTTTCTATAGCTATTTTAAGATTATTATCAATATCTTGTAAAATATCCGAACATTTCCAGACTGGACTCGAGCGGAGTAAGTATGTAAATCTAGGTACAAGAAGACAATATTTTAAAATAGTAAGAGCTATGTGGGGGCTTAATTTATACAATTTATCAACGTGGTTTAAAAACTGATCAAATTTTGTTTTTAAAACAGGTTTAATACTATCGAAAAACAACGGGGCACCTAGCAGGTATAGTGATTCCATATTGACAGTTTTTATTCCTGGATAAATATGATTAAAATTTTGAATTAATGTGTCTCTATGAGAAGTAGATAAATTATTGGAAAAAAATATTTCACATTTATTACTATTAGGTTCAAGGCCAATTTTTTAAAATTTTGAATAATATGAGTAAGATCGCTTTTACCTTTAAACAGTCTACCGTCAGCACAATTTTGACACTGTAGGAAATCCGGCTGTGAATGTAGAGGAGCAGAGATATTCATTAAAAAATCTAAACAGATCTCTACAACACTCAAAAGTCTTTATATTACATATTCATATTAACTTGAAATGTGCTGTACCCCGCATCTTTCCCTGAAACAATCATTTACGGCCTAAATAAAAGCACTTTACTCTATAAATGAAATATTATTACATTACTCCCCTGGATTTATTCCATCTTGATAAACATTGTATGTATAGTCGTTACGCTTTGACAGTTGTCAACGGCGCAGCAGAAATATTTTTCTTTATTAATTAGTATTATGTCTGAAATCAAAAAAATATTATTATAACAACTCTCTTTTCTGATCTTTTTGTTGAAATTTGTAAGCCAGAATTGGCCTCCAAATAACAAAATAAAATAATATAAATATACGTAGCTTTTGACAGTGAAAAATTTTGACACCTGACCACCATACTTCATAAAAATCAATTTGGTTTCACAAGGGGTCGCTCGACAACTGATGCCGGTGTTGAGCTGATTAAATATATGTTTAATGCATGGGAGAATTCACAGGATGCTTTGGGTATATTTTGTGACCTATCCAAGGCCTTCGATTGTGTTCACTATGAAACATTAATCAGGAAACTTCAACACTACGGTGTAAGAAATGATGCCCTTAAATTAATTATTTAATATTTAAGTAAGAGAACGCAAAAAGTTGTCATTAACAATATGAGCTCTTCCGGATCGATGGTACAAATAGGCGTGCCTCAAGGCTCGATTCTCGGCCCCTTTCTGTTTCTTGTATACATTAATAACTTACCTTACATAGTAGGGGATAACCATGATATAGTATTATTTGCAGATGACACTTCTTTAATTTTCAAATTAAGTCGACAATTACTAAAATATGACGAAGTAAATAATGCTATATCTAAATTAGTAAATTGGTTCATTGTTAATAATTTGCATTTAAATGGCACTAAAACGAAATGTATGAAATTCATGACTCCAAATGTCAAACAATTAAATACTAATGTACTTTTAAATGGGGAGAAACTGAGTCTTGTAGATACCACCATTTTTCTTGGAATCACACTAGACGCGAAGCTTCAATGGAGCCCCCATATATCAAAACTAGCAAGCATACTTAGTTCTGCAGCATATGCTGTAAAAAAGATTGGAAGTCTAACCAGTGTTGAAACAGCTAGACTAGTTTACTTTAGCTATTTCAATAGCATAATGTCGTATGGTATTTTGCTATGGGGACACGCAGCTGACACTGAAATTATATCTGTTTTACAGAAGAGGGCCATAAGAGCAATTTATGGTTTAAAGCCTAAAGAGTCGCTGCGACAAAAATTTAAGGAAATTAATATATTAACTTTGGTCTCTCAATACATTTATGAAAATGTAATGTACGTACACAAAAATAAAAGTAGTTTTACAAAAATAAGTGATATTCATTCTGTAAATACTAGGAACAATCGCAAGCTAGTAGTACCAGTTACTCGACTCCATCGAGTCAGTAATTAATTCTTGGAAATACGCTTTTACAACAAATTTCCAGAAAATATACAAAGTTTGACCTGCTCAAAGTTCTAAAACTTTATTAAACTAAGTTTGTATAAAAAGGGTTATTATAATATTAAGGAATTTATGGATGATAATAACCCCTGGAAATGAGGTAATCGCTACCAAGCTATTTCTAATTTGTTGTGTTGTTAATTTGTGTAACATCATGATTGTAAGCTCTTATTTAAAAAAAAGTCAGGAAAGAGGTTTTTTCCGAACCAGTGGTAATCAAACAAAAGAGTGACTTTCAATAAATATTATTTATAATCTATATTGAATACAAAAGTTTCTGTTTCTGCTACATACACTCTCTGTGTGCACCGAACCTGTGAATGGTATCATCTGTTCATCGACAGAATAAGTTGGACTCTCGCGTGGCAATGCATGGCAGCGTTTTCTAACTGCATCTATGACTGCTTGCACTTACCACAATTTATTAGCAGACCGTTCATTTTCCTTAACTCTGTTAGGATCAACTACATGTAAAATGACCCGTAACATATAAAGCACTCACGTGACATAGCATTAGCTATTGGGTCGTATCGAAATTTTTGATGCATTTTCATTCGAGGGCATTTAATGCAACTCATCATCCCGTGAACTCCAAAGATTTTTTTTATTTCATTAGGTGTACATTGCGGCCTCATTTGCTGCTCTTTTTCGGCCATGTAATATTGCGCAGTACAGATCGCGAACTTTCCAAACAGTTCGGCATCAAAATAATTTTCGAAGTACTCCGCAGGTGATTTGGGTGGTTCTTTACTTGAACTTTCTTGAGCTTGACTAGTAGTTTTCCCTCGAAATCTTTTTTTTGTCCATTTGCCATCGCTTTGATTGGTAGCCGCCCTCAAAGATGAGAGTGGGACATCATCCTCGGAGGAGTTATTATCTTCATCATTTTGCGCATATAAGTCATCATCATCTTCATCAACATCTTCCAAGTCAGACTGTTCCAGTAACTCCCCAATTGCGTTGTCATCGAGGCTAAATAGCGATTCCGCCATGGCAATGTACTATGTAGTTGGGCCCGGAGTGATACAATTGTGACGTTAGACTTCAGTGCCACTTTTTCTTGAGAATTTCCTAAAAATACAAACAAATTCATTGACTGGTACGTAAAACAGTTCAATAATAACAATAAACGACAATCATAACGTGAGAAATACGTAATTGTATGGTAATTTTGATTACTTACGCGCAGCAACACCCCAAACAACACCAACGGCGAAATGAATGAGTTTAAATTTGAACTTCGCGACACTTGCTAGCTGTCTCACTCATACCTATAGACAGAGCATATCCGTCACGATCGTGCGGCCGTGGGCCCGTTCACATAACGCCTAAAATACCGGCAAAATTTTACTTTGACTTAACGTCACAATCGTGTTGGCCTGGGCTGAAAGGGATAGATTACGACCGGGGAGTATTGAATTGGCGATGCAAGATAATACTTCGAAGCGAAATAACTGCCAACTAAAGTGATTGTGTTTTATTATTTGTGTGGTTTTAGATTGAAATTAGTGTTGTAATTAAAGTGTCAATTTTGGTAATTCGATCGGCAGTTTTTAATTGTCTCGAACGCCAAGCTCGTAACAATATAAATTTTTTCATCTTGGGTGTCATTTTCATGGTTTTCGAGGGTGTTGAAGCCGATAGTGCTGTCCAAATGTAAATCCAAGATGGCGGCTGCAATAGGTATCAAGTTTTTCATCATGGGTGTCATTTTCATGGTTTCCGAGAGAGTTGAAGCCGATAGGGTTGTCGAAATGTAAATCCAAGGTGGCGGCTGCAATGGGTATCAATTTTTTTATCATGGCTGTCATTTTCATGGGTTTCGAGGGTGTTAAAGCCGATAGTGCTGTCAAAATGTAAATCCAAGATGGTGGCTGAAGTAAATACCGATTTTTTCATCATGGGTGTCATTTTCATGGTTTTCGAGGGTGTTGAAGCCGATAGTGCGATCGTAATGTAAATCCAAGGTAGCGGCTGCAATAGATATCAACGTTTTCATCTTGGGTGTCATTTTCATGGTTTTCGAGGATGTTGAAGCCGATAGTGCTATCGAAATGTAAATCCAGGTTGGCGGCTGAAGTAGGTACCAATTTTTCCATCTTGGGTGTCATTTTCATGGTTTTCGAGGATGTTGAAGCCGATAGTGCTGTCGAAATGTAAATTCAAGATGGCGGCTGCAATAGGTATCAATTTTTTCATCATGGGTGTCATTTTCATGGTTTTCGAGGAAGTTGAAGCCAATAGTGCTGTCGAAACGTATTTAAACTACTTTAAAAATTCCGAATAATCATGTTATACGTATTTTTTTTAATGCGCTTAAGGTATGCCCAATTGGATTTACCATTATATTAAAATTTATCATTTAGTTTTAAGACAAATTGTCTAAGCATAATGCACGATTCCTATGTTCAAGAAATATTTCATTCCCGCTACAAATCGTTAATAAATGCGTATATTGTAATTAATATACTATAAAAATATATTGTTGAGCATGAAAATCCTTTTAGCCTGTTTTTAGCCATGTTTTTTATTTTAACACTAATTATTTTATTTATTTTTACGTGGAAGAGCTACACTGCAAACTCTGTTAAGGCCGCAGTTCTCATAGTATCTCATAATATCTTCGTATGGGAAGTGACGAGAAACGGAGACCCTTTTTATTGGCAACGATATATATCATCACGTGGACAGTGCGCGTTCACATAACGATGTTATCCGAAGGGCTCTTGCCTCTACAAATGTTTTCTCGATTTTAGAGGCTTGTGGAATAGTTCGAGACAATGTCAGGAGACCTTGGTACATTGACAGAGTGACAAAACCCTAGTGTGGAATGATACGTGCGTAGACTCTTGGGCAAACTCTAATCTTAGGAACACTTCGTTTAGAGCCGGTGCTGCATCAGAGACGGAACTAAGTGACACAAGTATGAGTCCCTAAAAGGTGATTTGCTGTAGAGATTGTCGGTAAGGTCCACGTGCGATGAAGTTTCTAAGGAACTGTAGACGCCGCTAGTGATAAGAAGATTGATTCTTTCCTTGCTTAATGATTAAGTATATCCATTCAGCGAGGAAATCAGCCAGAGTTCTTAGCACTATACCGCTATCGCTACCGCTTTAGTTTTGCTTTTAGTATTAGGTCAATAAAATATTATATGTTTTAATGTTACCTTTAAATAAATGCATTAAATTAAATTAATATTTATTTATACGTGGTAGAGCCACGCTGCAGCTATATTAGTAGTATAGTTGTAGTACGAACGGGCCGGCTCGACCAGGGAAGTACCACGCTCTCACAGAATACCAGCGTCAAATAATAGCTTAAAACTGCTGTGTTTCGTATGGTGAGTGTAGAGAACCGGAGACCCTTTTTACTGACAAAGAGGCATTCGATCTTAGTCCTCACGGGTGACAATGCATCTGCATCTTGAGTCTTTATTGATGATAGATGTAGATGTCTATGGGTCACAGTAACCACTTACCATCAGGTGGACTGTGTGCTCGTTTGTCACCCTATCCTATAAAAAAAAACAATTTAAATAATTACTCTGTTTAGGTACTTAATTTGTTTTATAAGAGTTTTTATAAGAGTATCGTCTAAACTTTAAATGCCATCAAAACATAACTTGTTAAAAAAAACCAAGTCCCGCAACTCAGTTCTGCAACCGTAAAAAGTTGTGAGATCCATGTAATACCAAGTCGGTAAATTTATTCAGTTCCTACTTAAGGGTTCATCTGTCTAAAGTTATTACGTAATTAGCTAACCTAACAACATCTTATAGTGACCACATCAATACTAAAAATCTTTTATATTTTAAATAAATAATTTGACTTGGCAATCGCATGAAAACACAGTGTATCTCTCAAGTAATACATATTATATTAAATTAGATTGTTTAGTCTAAGAGAAAAACTGTAAGAACAATTTATACAGGTAATTGCGTGATCTACATTTTTTGTTTTAACTATTTTTATGATATAACTTATCGTTTAACTGAAAACTTCAAAAAAACCCATTTTTGCGTACGTTGAATTTTTTTTTGCAGATGTGTGTTCGATGGGTAGGTACTTTTCACGTTTCATTTATAATGGTGTTCCCAACATTCGTAACAGCTCTAGTTTTTCAGCTCTATGTGATATTATAACCTTGAATGTCTTTTTTGACCGGACTATAATGGCTTACATTTTTTATAAGAGGCAGAAAACCAGCTTGCGGCTAACCTGATGGTAAATGATTACCGCCGTCCCATGAACAACTGCAATTCTAGGGGAATTGAAAACGTTAACAAAACGTGGCCCTTCACTGCTATCTGTATGAGGAAGCTCACTCGCTATGCTAGCTATGCAGTTTTAAAAGAATAATTTAATTTTCAATAAAAATTATTTATGATCTATATTGTATAAAAAATATTCTATTCTATTTTATTTATTTATGCTTTAGAGCAATCTAGTTAATCATATGAAAAATAAATGTTGTTACACCAGATTAAAATTAATGAAGCACTTTATCGAGAGATGGCGCCACTTATCATTTATATCGTGATAGTGTTTTATAGGTTCTAAATAATGATATTTGTCATATGGGTGATTAACCTAAGAAGAAAGCGACAAACATATATATATTTTTGGAACTCACGGCTGTTTAAGTCGCGAGATATGAGCCTGAGAGCCTGAGATTCAGTAGCGATGAGTCGTTCTCGTTCTAGATAAATTATGAACTACTAGTTCCAACTAGCACATGAAGTACGCATAGTTTGGTATCGTTGGAAAAGTATATTTATCTACATTCCAAATTGTTGGCGTACCTATTTAAAAGATTTCAATTCATTTTTTTATATAAGACTAATCCGATTTTTGTCCTTTTTTGGTTATTTTTTTCTGTTATTTTTGTTTCTTTTTTTTAATTATCTATTTACAATTATTTTTTATTATATAGGCGCTAAAAATCAGTCTTAAGAGTTATTAAAACTAAATTATATTTTACAAATGTTATACTCAGACATTTGTTGGCATTTGTCCGTAAAATGATCCCAAGCGACATTGCTGTAATTTTTTTTAAACAATAATCACTTTAATGTCTAATAAAAGAAAGTGAAAGTTCTTTAACCACATAACAAAACTTCGTTGCGAAAACCTATTACTAAATAAGTCGAGTAGGTATCATTCAATACGGTGCCGAGATCACATTAGCATGAGTCCGTACTAGACACTCGACCTCATCATATGGTCTCCATTCGCATCGAGTAGGGTAAAACACCCAGTAGTCAGCCTTTTAGTGAGGACTAAAATTTGATTCAACTATATTTTAAATATTAAACAATATATAAATAAAAACAATCATTATCCCCAGTAAAGTTGTTTATTAAGTTTACTAATGAAATTAACGAAACATTATATTTATAATAGAATTATATAAAAAAATCAACATTAAACAAATTATGGCACTTTTCACCAGTAGTCAGCCTCATTTCTCCACAAGTCAGCCATGTCTTACCCTGTAGTCAGTCTCTCGCTTATTCTTACATATTTGGCATAGAAATTCTGTATTATGTATATTTACAAATATCATCACCATCATCATCATTACAGCTCTTCACAAATTCACTGCTGAACATAGACCTTACCCAAGGAATGCCACAAAGCACGGTCCCGAGCCACCTGCATCTATTGACTTCCTGCATGTCTTACCAAGTCGTCACTCACACTTCGCCTGCCGGTACGAGGCTGCCACTCGAGAACCTTTCTTCCCCATCGGTTGTCCGTTCTTCGAGCTATATGGCCGGCCCATTGCCACTTCAGCTTACTAATCCTTTGGGCTAAGTCGATTACTCTGGTACTACTGCGGATATCCTCGTTTTTAAGTCTATCACGCAGAAAAACGCCGAGCATAGTCCTCTCCATAGCTCGCTGAGCGATCTACAGTTTCCTCATACGGCCAGCAGTGAAGGACCACATCTCAGATCCATAAGTCATCACTGGCAACACGCTCTGTTTGT